CACTTGAATGCAGTTCAATACTGTACAATATGGTATGGCTATGTGCAGATGTTAATACAGTTAACCCAATTAGATCTCAACAGCCAATCAGCAAGAAGAATAGAGGAAAGCAGCTTATCTGGTTTAAAAATGTCAAAATTTGGTTTCAAAAATAGCATGGTACGAGGTATATAGAATTGTAGGTTATATGATATGTTTCTACCGATTTACAACCAAAAAGACTTCTTTTCCCGGCTAATACTTGAAAAAACAAACAAAGTAACTATTCCTATTATAAGTATGTGGAAGCCTATGTCACGGTGGCGTAGAGAAGACACGGAGACTCAGAGATGTCGTCCTGTCGTTTCTTTAATCTTTTCAAGTCTCCTCTCCCCAACGTTACCTTTCTAGAACCCCTTCCTTCGAACAGGTGTCGTTGCTACCTGTTCGAACACCTGCTCAACACCGCGTGCGCACGTGGTGATCACGTGCGCAAGGTGTGTTCGAACAGGCAGCGAACCCCCGCCCGAAGGAAGGGTTCTAACTATAGCTACTACAATGTATAAGGTAAAGTACAAGTGCTTAAGTTAATGTATAACTGTCACTTCGTGACATCTCCCCCGGCTTTTTTTTTTACATAACGTCCCCGTTATCTGGTTATCGATTATGTATATACATTTCTATGCCATGCAATTTCTCTTCAAATAAAGTCTCTGCTTCTCTTCAAATAAAGTCTCTGCTTCTCTTCAAATAAAGTCTCTGCTTCTCTTCAAATAAAGTCTCTGCTTCTCCCGGCTCTGCTTCTCCCGGCCCGGTTGCCATGTCCGTCCTCCCCCACCCTCTCGGTGGTTGGCTCGCGCACTCCCTCAGGACCGCACGGAACAGGAACATCTGAAGGAGCCTGCTCCAGCGGGACACACCTCTGGGGGGTGGTGGGTTAGGGCAATACATACAACCATTGACAACCGCACATGTCTTCTATAATTTATCTGTCTCTCTGTCTCTCTCTCTCTGCATAACGGCAACTTTCAAACTCCAGAACTTCAGTAATTATATATTAAGGAACTTCAATTAAGTTGAACAATAACTTATTTGTATAACTTATTTACGTTACCCTACCTTAACCTACCCCAAGGGAAATAAAGCCCATACATGTAATTCCTATCAGCTGCCGGCTGTTGTGTGCCCGGATGTTCCCGCTACTCGGTAAATCCGCCCGATGTCTGGCTTTCCTGGACACACAACAGCTTCAACTCCTCCCCCCTTGTTGTTAACAGTCCCACCCTGGATACGTTGGTAAAACTAGGACAGATTAACATGTAAAGTCGAAACATATTTCGGTGTAATGTTATACACCTCTGCATAACGTACTGGTGGCACCCCGATATTTACCCTCTGAGACCTTCGTAATGTTGGGGCTGGCACATTTGATTCCGTGGCTGGACTACTGAACCAAAGTAGTCCTTCATCCTCGTCTGTCTCCTGATCGTCAGTGATGGCATCCTGTGTGTCCCAGTGCTCCCGTTCATCATGTGCCTGTGGCTTCTTCTGACGTTGCCGTGTAGGAAGTGAGAAAGGACAAGGAATTAGAAGTTCTCGGTGTACTGTTCTCTCTGATCCTTGTCCGCGTTCCGGCTTGATAACTAAGACAGGGATGTCTGGGTGTGGTTGGCGTACCACGACGTAAGGTGAGGATTCGAACTTGTCCTGGATTTTACTTCGCCCTCTTAAACGTCTATTCCGCACCAACACTCGTTGTCCTGGTAACAATGGGCAGCTCCGCTCTTTGTGTTGGCGAATGCGTCTATCCCTTTCTCTTGTCTTTTCTAGCCTTTGCGAAGTCCTACTGTACGCATAGTGAAATCGCCGCCAATGTTGGAGTACCCAGTCGTCAGTACACCCGTCTGGTTCCAAATCGTCATTATCGTCTTCCGTCCCAATGGCAACATCAATCGGGAGCCTCGGATGCCGTCCATACATAAGATAGAATGGAGAATATCCAGTAGATTCTTGCTCTGTGCAATTGTAAGCATGGACAACTTCTGCTAGGTAGTCCGGCCATCTTCTCTTCTTTTCCCTCTCTAACGTTCCTAACAGATCTAGTAGAGTCTTGTTAAAGCGTTCACAAAGCCCATTGCCCTGTGGGTGATATGGTGTAGTATTGCTCTTCGCTGCTCCATAGATTCTGCACAGTTCCTGCATGGTGTTGACATGAAATTGGCACCCTTATCTGAGTGGATGCGATGGGGAAATCCATAATGCACAACGAAATGACTCCACAGAGCTTTCGCTGTTGTTTCTGCTGACTGATTCTTTGTTGCTACTGCAACAGCATACTTCGTGTAGTGGTCAATGATAACCAAAATGTGCTCGTATCCCGTAGACGACTTATCGACTGTCAAGTAATCCATTGCTACCATTTCTAGGGGGTATGTCGTTCTGATAGGGACAAGCGGGGCGGGTATTGCCTTTACTGTAGTCTTACGCAACACACACCTCTCACACGTCTTCACCCATAGAACGATGTCTGCATACATGCTTGGCCAATAAAACCGTCTCTCCATCAGCCGTTGAATGCGATTGATGCCTAAGTGTCCGGCATCAGTATGCAAATGCTGAAACATTCGTTGACGTAGTTCTGGTGGCAATACGATCTGTTTCTTAAGGCGACCATCACTTGCATCGATTCTTGTCCTCATTAACACGCCGTCCTGCATCTCTAGTCGGTCGAACTGATTAAGGAGACGAAGGGTTTCTGCACTCTCCTCCTTACGCTCACGTTGGTCTGGACGGCGCTTACGGTTCACATACTTTATTACTCGACGAAGGGTGGGGTCTTCCCGTTGCATCTGTCCCACTTCCACTGCTAGTTGTGGTGCTTGACGTGTGATGTCGTCTCTTGGCTCATCTGGCAATCCTTGGCATTTTATGTCATCTCGTTGCCACTGTCGTAACTGCTCCGCTACGCTCGGCTTCATCAGCGATACGTAGCGCTGACATGCGGCCTTGACGACTTCTGTTGTTACCATCTCATGATCATCACAAGACGTCTTAATGGGAAGCCGTGACAGGGCGTCTGCATTCGTGTTGATGCGCCCTGGTCTGTATTTGATCTCGAAGTCAAATGCAGCCATCTGTGCCACCCAACGCTGCTCCACAGCCCCAAGTTTAGCGTTGCGTAAGTGTGCTAGGGGGTTGTTGTCAGTAAAGACTGTGAATCTTACTCCGTAGAGATGCTCCTTGAATTTCTTACAGATAGCCCAATGGAGTCCTGCCAGTTCCAGTTTGAAACTACTGTAATTGTGTGGACTTCGCTCAGCTGGACCCAACCCCTTGCTAGCATAAGCAATAACCCGCTCAATCCCTTCCTGCTCTTGACTTAGCACAGCTCCATATCCATAATCACAGGCATCTACGTATAGGATCATGTCCTTAGCATAATTAGGACATGCTAAGATGGGCGCGCTCGTTAGTTTCTGCTTAAGTGTCTCAAACGCACGTTGATGTTCAACTGACCACTTGTTCAATCTAGTTCTGTTCTGGGTTTTCTTGTCCACTGTGGCCTTGTTTTGGGGTTTCCTTTGTCCTCCAATCAACTCATATAGACATGCTGCTATTTGGGCATATCCTTGCACGAAACGACGGTAATACCCCGCAAACCCCAAGAAGGAACGCAACTCTTTTACTGTGTGGGGAATAGGCCAATTCCTCACGGCCGCGATCTTGTCTGGATCAGTGGCGACACCCTTCTCGCTAACCACGTGACCCAAGTATCTAACTTCTCTTCGACAGAGATTACATTTTGACGGCTTCAGTTTCAGACCATACTGTTCCAATCTTGTTAAGACAAATTCAAGCTTTTCAATATGAGTCTCGAACGAGTCTGAATAGACAAGTATATCATCTTGATAGATAAGCAAGAAGTTGAGATTCTGATCTCCAAGACACTTCATCATAACACGTTGGAACGTACTCGGTGAACCTGACAATCCCATGGGCATTGACTCCCATTCATAGGAACCCCAGGGGGTAACGAACGCTGTTTTCTCCTTGTCTTCTTCCTTCAATGGAACTTGCCAGAAACCTGAAGCCAAATCTAAAGAGCTAAAGATCTTGGCATTCCCTAGAGCATCCAGCGACTCTTCCACACGTGATAACGGGAAAGCCTGTTTGTGCGTTACTGCATTTAATTTGCGATAATCTACACAGAACCTGATTGAGCCGTCCTTCTTCTTAACTAGGACCAACCCTGCACCCCACGGGGAAGTACTCTCTCTAATAATGCCATTATCTTGCAACTTCTGAATCTGTTCCCTCACATCTTGATACAAGGTAGGGGGAATCCTTCTGTATGGTTCCCGGATTGGAGCTGTGTCGCCCGTGGGAATGTTATGTTCTAACACTGTTGTACGGCCCACATCAAAAGGCCCCGTAGAGAACGCATTTTTATGCTTTGCTAACATTTCCCCTAACTTCTGTCTCTGATCGTCTGCAAGATCAGACTGCGATAAGTCAAGATCATCTGGGAACCATGATTCTGGAACGCTATTTACGTTCACATTATGTTGGAAACAGACTCTGACAATATCTTCCCCTTCTCTCTCCAAGGCTATGTCGTCTTCGATTCGTGGTACAAGTTCCACCTGACAAAGCTCAGCTACTACTGCGTTATATGCTATTTGTACGTCTTGCTTAGACACATTGGCAATTCTAACAGGCGCCTTGCCATTCCGAACTTCCACATACGAACGTGCCACAATCAAGGATGAGTTCAAGTTATGGGTTACTGTTGGCTCTACAAGAGCCATGTATGGCGCTCTGCTACCTCTGACATTACAGTAGATTATCATCTCATGTCGAGCAGGAACCGTAACCTTTTGTCTACAGGGTGCCCGAGCAAAACATACTCTTCCTGAAGGATTGGCTAACTTCAGATGCTGCTCATGGTTCTTAAGAACTCTTTGCCATTGTTTTCCTGTGACAGTTTCTACTTTATCCGTATACTCTCTCCCAAATTCCGTAAACAATGCATCTCTACACGGACCGATTACATTCATTCCCACTATAGCCGGTATTGTTTTCCCTTGATCCTTGGTAATAATGACTCCCCTTGCTGGCAAGGTCCTCTCAAAGACTTTGACATCCATCTCTAAATACCCAACTAGTGGTATCTCTTCACCATTGGCGGCCGCCAATTTAATCCACGAGTCCGCATTTTTGGGATTGGGACTATCTTCCCCAAAGTATTTACGATACATTGATTCAGGAATAGTTGTGACTTGTGATCCTGTGTCCAACAGGTAAGGGATGTCTACCCCGTCAAACGTAATGACAACGTGATCTGAGGACCCTATTGTCCTAGCCTTAAGACTTTCTCCGGCTACCTTGTCATCGTATTCTACTGTGTCTGGTTTCTGCTTTGATCTGTCAATCTTCTCGACTCCCTTACCCACGTTTTTATTCAACTTTATTGTATGTATTGTACTTGTGTCTATTTCATTCTTATCCATTTGCAGCTCACTATCTACTCTATCCACCCCCGGGCCGCTATCGGAGGCGGACCGCTCTAGTTTGGGGGCATGTGCATGTTGGAACGTGAAGCAGCCGACTCTTCTATCTTACAGTCTCTGGCAATGTGCCCGTTCTGACCACACTTAAAGCACTCCGTAGCTCTAGGCCTCATCATGCACCCACGTGCAATGTGCCCCTTCTGACCACACTTAAAGCACTCTATACCACTACTGTTGGTGGTGCAATCTCTTGCGAAATGTCCTTCCTTCCCACAGTTGTAGCACCTATAGGTATTCTGATTGCGCCTATAGCTATCCTGATTGCGTCTATATGTATCCTGATCCCGTCTACTAGACTGACTCATTTGCAAATTGATAGTCAACATGTCTAGGGTTCGCTCTAGCAGTTGTTCTACGCGACTAGACTGGGGGTCCTGTTCCTCAAAGGCTGTAGCCTGAACTTGGGCTGAACCTTGTCTTCTCACCTCCCACTCCCCGGTTAACTGCATAGCTGCTTCCTTAACTTGTCGATATGTCATATCATTATTGTCTTGGACCTCACGCTTCAACTGACGCCTTACCGTATCATCTCTAAGGCCGTCAATCAATCTATCTCTCAATGTCCTATCCTTAGCTTGGGCCACCGCAGCGGCTTCATCCTGAGCCACGGGCCCGACCACAGCCGCGGCCGGAGCCCTTTCTTCAGCCTTCGTTAATAACTCTTGTAAAGACAGGCCAAAATCCCTGATGGTTTCCCCCCTTCTTTGGTCACGAGCGTAAAACTGTCCCAGATAATCACTATGACTAGTTCTGTCATCATAGCTGTTCAACAAGGCCTCAAACAATCTCTCGACATCATTTCTGTCTACCAGAGGAAGCTGCTGAATCTCCCTTTTTGCAATACCCCCGAGCTGACGCATAACAATATCACTACGGATACAAGAGTCTTCCTGGACATTGCACAGCCTGAAGATAGTTCGCATTTCTTCAATAAATTCTCTAACAGTCAAGTCGTTAGGAGAACATGGAGGTCCGTTAAACTTTGCGACCCGCCTGTCGACGGGCGCAAAGAGCGACGTCATTCCAGCAGCCATTCAGTTACAGATACCTATAACTAAGTGCGGTTGTCAATAGGTTATAAGTTTAACTGTGCCCACCCACCTGCCTGCCTTCGTCGCCTTCCTCCTCCTTGTAAGATGTAACGATCGGCACCCCAGCCGTACTACCAAATGTCACGGTGGCGTAGAGAAGACACGGAGACTCAGAGATGTCGTCCTGTCGTTTCTTTAATCTTTTCAAGTCTCCTCTCCCCCAACGTTACCTTTCTAGAACCCCTTCCTTCGAACAGGTGTCGTTGCTACCTGTTCGAACACCTGCTCAACACCGCGTGCGCACGTGGTGATCACGTGCGCAAGGTGTGTTCGAACAGGCAGCGAACCCCCGCCCGAAGGAAGGGTTCTAACTATAGCTACTACAATGTATAAGGTAAAGTACAAGTGCTTAAGTTAATGTATAACTGTCACTTCGTGACAATTTGATTTCAAAAAGTACATGATAAAGTCTATCCTCATGTAACATTCGTTATGTTTGTGGTAAAACAGTGATCTTTTCTTACACAGGCGAGGCTACGTCTACTGTCGTTGTAATATAGTTCATCAAATAAATCGGAATAAAACTGTTAGCAGATAGTTACACTTCCAAGATTTTGTGTTTTATCCATATAAAATCAGTTGCAGTTGTTCATTTATTCATTCTAGAACAATAAAACTATGACGGAGTACAAACGACCGGATCTATTGCGTCACGCATTTTCTCTGAGGCACCCGAGTTTGTCTCAACTACAATATCTGCAACTGCCTTGGACAAATTTGGGTCCACTATACGGGTTTCTGCTACGCCTGACATTTCTGTGCAGCCGTCTCCACCAGGTGATGCTGTTACTTGCTGCTTAGCTCGAAGCTGAGTCACATGTTCGAATGGAAGAGGAGCGAACGGTCGTGTTGTATCGTTCAGTAACGCTGACAGGTGTCCTGCAAAACCACGAGAGGCCCACAGAGTATCCACAACCCCCGCCAGAGCCTTCGGTAGATAGCCTTCCTCTCTCTTCGGAGGAACAGTCGGGCGTATTACTGAATAGGGCGACTTCAACTTACGTTTCCCGCTCTTTTTGGAGTCGTCTTTGACAGGAATCCAGAATGCCAGCCCGTCCTGTCCTGGATGCGGCGGCGACACGATCCACTCGGACTGAGTTGGGAACGAGACCAACGACAGCTGGTCCAGGAATTGTGGGTCGAACTCGTTCTCAGGCACGATCCAGACCCTCGTGTCGTCTGCTATGTCCAGGACGGAGTCACGGCCTGGCTCAGACGTCTGAATCTTTTCAGAAGATTCCATCTTACCGTACTGTTATGAGTTTGGAATTCATCAGAAACAATGCCATATGCGAATTCTTAAGGCCAGGAAAATGTTCAATCGTGGGCCGTAGACGTATTTTTCTTGTACACCGTAAGGTAGTCCGCTTTATTCTGCAAATAAGAAAAAAAAATCGAAACGTTGCGTAACGTTACATGTAACAAGTTATATACATTCTTATATATATAGAAACAAATGAAACCTGCGCAAAGACAGATATTGCTTGTGAAAACAAAATTTCCAGAACGTTGTTTTTTTAAAACCTACGTTACATTTGAATACATTTCATAAACCTTAAACGAATACATGCTTCTCTGCTTAGTTGTAAAGAACCAGCAAAATTTTGGATAAGTTGGTTATCACATTTAATGAGAACTGTTTAAATAAAACCGACAAAAATAAACCCACACGTACCTTCAGGCAGAGTTTATCAAACGGACGTGCACACTGGAGACCAGGTAGATTTCGGTGAAGAGTAATTCAGGACTGTTTTCCATGGACAATATATATTTCGTCTTTCCCTTCCAATAGCTCATCGCTCGTTTAGTACCTTTCTTCCTCGTTGCTATGGCAACGCATTGATAAACGTAGTCGTTTTGTTACGGAATAATAGATCACCCTCTTGGTCACGTGACAACATAGTCCTAACTCATTTTGGATAGAGGGAACCATAATTCATCCGGTATTATAAAAAAAGAGCACTTGAACTTATCTTAACTACGTGAAAAACTGATTCAAAAGCGTTACTACCTTGTATTCATCATGACACCATTTGTTACGGAATTTATGACGTCATTATTAGTTTAAGGCGGTGGGATTTTTATGACGTCACTATTGTTTCTGACGTTCGATGGTTTTGTCAATATTAGTTCTAGAAACTACAGGAATTCCCACAAGAGTTGAAAGTCCAATACCAGAAGTCATCGAAAAGAAAAGGTACCACACAGATTTTGACATTTTAACAAGAATGGAATGTGTTAAATTGTTTATGTACCTATGGGCCATGGTAGTTATCGGGTGACTTTACGTCGGAACATGTAATGAAGGGAACCAACACACAAAAGACATGGCCACCACAAAAGGTTTGGATCAGAGAGGTTCTATTTTAAAGCGAAGAAAGTAACACAAAATCTAAGACTGAGAAACACTAAAAATGATATGTCAAATCAGTAAACAATCAAGTGTTGAAACTTCCTATGTTGTAACTTTATAAAACATGCTAGTACATCTTGTACCAATGTGCATGTGACTAAGAAGTAAAACAACTTAATCAACTTTGACAGCTATACTCAAATACTGTACAATTTCATAATCATACTTACGAATCATTCTGTACAAATCATAGTATGTCTGGACGGTTCAGTATCATAGTAATCTTCCTCATTTCTGTATTTCTAAGAATTTAGGAGAAAACTTACAATCTAACCCCACTTCTATGATCTTTCTGCAATAGATGCCACCTATAGTTCTGCCTTTCCTAATGATTTGTCCACACAATTCTCCTTATGATATTTAT